TCGGAGCCGCAAATGATTCAATTAATCATCGCGGCTGTCGCCCATTTAATGCCGTTTTGTTAAACGCACGGCCCGCCGGGGAGAGTTTGCCACGACCTCCACGATCGCCCGCCCGCCCCCCCGACAGAGGTGGCCTGCGCGGGTTTATTTTACGAGAAGCGCCGCTTGCCACGTTCGCCGTCGCAAAAAATGTGGTGTGCGAGCAGCCTTGGTATGTGGATTCTTAAGCCCCTTCGCAGCCCATCCCCCCGCAGAGCGTCTCGGAATAATAATCTGGCAGCACAGAATAGAAGCGCTGCAGGGTTTTTTTATTTCAGAGAGCAGCGTTGTAGCGCGAGATTCTCTGCGCGGAAACATATTTAGGAAATTCTGCGAATAACCGTGCAGTTACCACTTTATTATATATATAAAAAAAAAGTTTCACAGTAATAGCGGCTCGTTAAATTGCGGTAAGCTAGAGTTATCTCGCGGAGAAAGTGGGGCTTCATGAACTGCCGTTGCCATAACTTCCTTTCACCGTATCATTATCAAACTTTTTCTCTGCCTCGCCCGGGTCAAGGCTGTCCCACTCGACCTCGCCTTTGTAGTTTATACACGGCGCGTGTGTGTGTGTGTGTGTGTTTTCATCTTGCTTGTTACAGAGAGTGAGGATGGGAGCCCTTCAGTGCCTCTGCGCGTTGGTGCAGCTGCCAGCGCACGTGGTAAGCCCGCCCTTCGCTTCCCGCTTCACGGCCACGCGCTGGTCCGCTGTGGGTGGTGACGTACGTACGTACGTACGCAGAACTTTTATCGCATCGTACGTAACCAACCGTGTTCATCCGGAGGTGTGTGGGGGGGGAGGGTGCGGGCGGGCGGGCGGGCGGGTAGGGGGAAGGACATAAAACCAAACACAAAAAGCAGTTCTAAAGAAATGGGTTTTCAATCTGCGATGCGATCTCCAGCGCGTCCCGAGAGCACGTCTCGCGCAAATCCAACCGCGTCGGTCGACGGCGTCGCTCCTCCGAGGGAGCTTAAGATGTCGGTTTTAAAGTGCGAGTTTCGCGGTCGGCGCTGATGAACAGCGATTGCCACGCAAGCCCGATTGTCCTTTTTAATAACGCCTTCCAAACCGAAGTTGAAAGCGTTGATGATTTAGCTTTGTTTCCGTCTGTAAAGAGGTGCGGGGTGGGGGGGGAAACGGGGGAGACACGATATTTTCCTGAAGATGCTCCGCTATTATTGAAAAAACAATGTAATTGGATAAAGGTACGTTTCTGTCGGGGACTTTACCCCGCAGACATGAGGCCAACTTGGACAAAGCTTTGGCCAAAACTCGGGAGACAACAAAAACGAGCAGGGACAAACCCAAGCAGCCAATGAGAATCCCATAATGCCTCACGCTGATCTTTGTATTTTTCTCATTGGTGATCTACCATGTGCACAGTTTGTCCACAAGTTTAATAGTACAAATGCATATTTTGTCAACCTTGGTATTTAACAAAACTCAAACTCCACCCCTAACCACCACCACCACCATCCCTCCACTTCCATAACCGCTCGCATAAACGCCGCGGATCGCTTCGCTTGCACGCGAATGGTCGCCGGAGGTTTCCTTTCAGAATGGACGCGTTTCCAAATTTACCCATGAACACCGGGCGACCACCGATTGTCTTCATTCGCCGGCTGCACCGCACCCACCCTCACCCGACCCCCCAAGGTCCGCGACGCCGCCGGTGACGACAAACATTCACGCGCGAGGGCTACGACCGCGCCACTCCAATCGTCGGCGCTAACGAGCGCTCGCTTTCCGCCATGACCTCAAACCATGGCAACCCTTGTGCTCATTAAACGCGTCGCGCAATTGGGAGCACTTCCGTGCGACAAGGTGCATACTAATGCCTTCACAGCGCCCGGTGACCGGCTTAAGCGGGAGGCTGCCGATTTCAAAAACCCACTTTACCGAGCGCCGTTCCTTCATTTCGCGTCCATCAAATCAACTCTGAACCGTGTGCTGCATTAAAAAAAAAATGTATTTCCACCCCCCCACCGCCACCTAATTTTTTTTTTACGAAGCGACTGATTAGCTCTGCGAAGAGTAAAGGCGAAGGAGTGAATATGGGGGTGGGGGCGGGGAAAATTAGCAGCCGACCCCAGGCAATAATGAGACTTCTCGTGCAGAAGACGAATTCTTATTTGTTTAGAAAATTTCCCTGAGGTAAAAGGGGTTGAGAATCACATGGGAAGAAGAGGCAAGCTACGCGAATATACAGCACAGGTGAAGCTGCAGGGCACTGTCGCGGAAACACCGCACTTTTACCGAATGCCGCCACGGTGGCAGTGAGCCACTTCTGAAGGTGATGAGGCCGCCGCCGCTGTTTTTTGCGACGCCCGTGCTGTTGTCGTGTCAGGTGCTGCCCCACAAGCAGGCGGTAATACACGCGCTGGGCGCGGCACTGGACGACCACAAACGGCTGGTGCGCAAGGAGGCCGTGGCAGCTCGGACCGCGTGGTGAGTACACGCGCGTGATGAGTACACGCGCGTGGCGGGTACACGGCACGCGCGCGTGACGGGTACACGGCACGCGCGCGTGGCGGGTACACAGCACGCGCGCGTGACGAGTACACGGCACGCGCGCGTGCACACGCTGGGCCCCTGGCTCGCCGTTACTGCCTCAACGTGCACCGACTCGCTTGTTCACAAACGACGGCACGCTCGTGCCCGCTGGGCATACAAACACGCACTCGCCCACACACAATGGATTTGCTCGCCCACAATCGCCAAATCTCACAAGGGGGCGGTGGAAAACACAAAGGGCTGTACATTTTACACATTCCAATTTATTGAGACTCTGAACATAATATCAAACGCTTGTAAATGTAATTTTCTTTGGTATAAAAAAGCCACTCTAAAAGGTTAAATTATTTAAAGCAGAACACACTTGAAGCCTCTTTTGATTGCTTGTTTTAAACAGGGGTTTTTTTTTCAGCCGTAGGTGTTTTTTTTTCATTCCCTGGAACAGAGGCGATGTTTTCCCGCGTCTCGATGGGTTTAGTTGATCTCCCGGTTACATAAAGGACACAAACAATCTCATGCGTGTAGCAGCACTAACGCACACAATCAGCGTTTGGGCTGCGGCAGCCGGTGGAGACGTTAGCAGAGCAGAGGTCACTCGCTCGCACGCATCTGCCCCACGTGACCCTGGGTGCCCTTGCGTGCCTAGTTTGAATTGGCTCTTTCCCAAGCACTGGAAGAAGGGGGGGGGGGTGTGGTGTGGGGGTCTCGGGGTGGGGGGGGGGGCAGTTTCCTGAGGCGATGCCATCTGGAGTGTTCCTCACAAAGTGAGTGGCGCAGATTTCCCACGCTGCACCTGGCACACCTTGAGCGTATGACGGGTCGCGGAGGGGGGAAACTACAGCCTGTTGGCCAAACGTGGCCACGCTACCTCAGTTCATATGGCCCACGTGCCCCGTATGGCTCACTACTTTATCGGCCCACAGCCTGTGGGCCGTGATGCTATATAACCGCTTCAAAAACAAATTAAAACGTACCTACCTTTTAAAATGTCCTAGCCGCACTGTAATTGGGGACTAAGGAGGGACATTTTTTGACAACTGGGCACCAACACTAATTTTATCGTGCCGTTGTCTCCGCACGGGCCCCTTGACACGGACCCCTTGACACGGACCCCTTGACACAGGCCCCTTGACACAGGCAGGTTAGTGTTGGCGGTGTTGTTATTGTGTGGCCCGCTCGGACGAATTTTAAAGTCCTCGATAGGGAAAGTCCTCCACTGGTATACAGCTTTGTGTGACAGGCATGGTTGCAATGGGGTAATGGTTAGCACTTGGTGTCATATGTAATTTATTTGTTCTGCCAGAACAGCAGTTGAAAATGTGGGGCAAGTTTCTTGAATCTGGCTGTGCCCGCCTATCGGCATAGAGGGAAGCCCACCTGTGGTGGAGTATAAAGGGGGTGAATGTAATCCCACCACCTCTAAGATGGTTCACTGCTGTGGAAGAGGATATCCTCCTGCTGCAGCCCCTTCCACCAGCAGTGGTATCTGCAAGCAGTTGCAGGGTTGCGCGTTCACCTGCCCATGCAAGTGTAAAAGGGTGAGTGTGTGGTCTGCACTGCTAATGAGGTCGTGTGGGCGCGTGTGCCGTGTCTGCCCGCGCCAGGTACATGCTGGGCTGCTGACAAGAGCCTCCCTCGAAACCTGGAAAGACCTCCACACCGAGCAGCTGACCCGCAAACAGATTGCCCTTAATCCTAATCGCTCATCTTCTTTTTGGATTCGCCCACTGCGAAGATTGGACCCCCCCCCCCCCCGCCGCGCCATGTGTTCTGCCCACGGCATTAGACCCCGCCTGGTCTACGACGGCGGGATGCTCGGAGTGGGGTGAGAGAGGTGTGGGGAAAATGAGGGAGCAGGGGAGGATGACGATGAAGGCAGGCAACATGACCTCCCCTCTCTGCCTGCACACTCCCACCAATCTTGGGCGTGACCTCTTCCTGCAACCCGCAGCGATCAGTAACGTTTTAAATCTGCGCAATATACACGCAGGCGGCCCCCCGGGGGTTAAGCGGCTTTACTGCGAATTGTAATTAAGCCGTCGGGTTCGCCGCCGTCACTGCAGTGAGGATTGGCTGCCCAGTGGAAGGAGGACAAGGTGGATTCTGCGGCACCCTCCGCTGTTCCGCGAGCATTTCACAGCGCGGATGAGACAGGGGCGCGTTGTTTGTTGAATTAACGCAAAGGCCTTTTTTGTACCTCCCCCCCCCACCCGTGCGATCGTGCTAATTAAAGGTTTTTGTGGAGCGTGCCAAGTGTTACCGTTCGATCTCGCTGCTTTTAAAAAAAGGTTTGCCCGACGACCGGGTTGTATCGCGGGGCCTGGGAATAACGTGAATTTTCGATGCAATTAATACAACCGTTCGCCCAAAGTAAGTTTAAATAATTACAAGTGCATTGTTCATTAGTATGTAGAGACTGGTGCAAGAAAGTAATTTCAAATATATTTTTTAAATTACAATTATGAGGTGTAAGTAAAAATAAAAAAAGGCTATGTAAATTCAAGGCACTACATCAACTCTTATTTTGATTTGTAAACATTCAGCCTTCTCCAGAGTAGATGAAAATCTTCAACTTGAATTTTCAAAAAGGTGCATTGGCCAAAAAACTGCATAGGATGCGTGATTCTGGGTTGTACCGCCTCTGCTGTTTGGCACGATGTCCGACGTTCCGCACTCTTGGCTTGGTCAGGTTGGAACTAAAACAAGTACCCACGTATAACAGCAGTAAAGCTACACTTCAAACACAATTTGGCACAGCCGCCAACTCACACGTTTCACGCCACGGCCCTAAGCAAGGGCCGTTGCGTCTCCAGCTTGGTGTTGACAAATCGGCGATCGTTCCGGATTGAAAAGCTGCCGTTTGTTGCGGGGGCTGACGTTGAAGCGACCGGATGGAGAGAAGAAATGGGTGCGACCGGACACATCACGCGTTCCACAACGCTCCGTCGCCCGCGGGAAGGTGGGAGGACGGCAGCAGCACTCGCGTGGCCCAGTGCCTGATGGGAAACACGGGTGTGCATGATGCGGGACGAAACGACGGAACCAGTGGCGGGGGGGGTGGGTGTGTGTCGAGCTCAGCCTACGGATTTGACGGCAATTTGCGTCACTCGAGAGCCGGAATGCGGAGCAAAGGTGACCGCTTAAATCTGCAGAGTTCGACCCGTGCGGTCGATTGGAGGTCGGGTGGATTCGTCGAGCCGCGTTCTGAAAATTGGGGTTGGGGGAGGAGGTGGGGCTTGGGGCCCAGAATCTCATCTCATCTCGACTGAGCAGTGGAGTGCAGCCACACATTACCGTCCGGAAATAATTGACCTCTTTATATTCGTAATCGGATGCAGGCTCGGTGAGATGGAGAATTACTTATGCAAGGCATAACCCTTGCGGGTTAACGACAAATCATTTGAGGTTCAGGTGAGTAAAATTTTTTTAGGGAAAATTCTGATTTGGGTTATGATTCTCAAAACGACGCTAGTTTTGAACTTCAACCGCTTAAATCAAATTGGAATATGAAAAGCTTTCAAAAGCCAGAGGAAAACGGCAGTCGCGGGCGGCAGAGCCACAATTTTACGAGTCTGGGTGAAGGGGGGGGGGTCGGTGAGAGGGGGCTAAAAGTGATAGTGGAGAGGCTGTAGCCGAAGGTGGAGCGAACACAAAGCGGATTAATTTTAACGAGCTGATGACGCGGGGTTCAAATCCCCGCCACATTACACGGAACGTTTTAAGTCCGCCCCCTTGGCTAGAGCGTTTCAAGTAAGGACCCCCCCCCTCCACCACCGTTTTGAATGCAAGTATTCATATTGTAACACACACGTGCTCAATGCGCTGTGGGTGGTATCCGATAAAAGTGTTAACGATACCACTTGCTAACGGAACGAACCTATACCCACCCTATCCAGAGATCTTGGATGAGGTGGGAGACTGTTTTAAGTGTTCGCAAGCCTCCAGTCTGCCCAAGTCCAGGAGGTCATGGGTTCGATTCCGACCCTGACGGCCTGGATATGTGGAGTTGGCGTATTCTCTCTCCTCGTGGTCGCGTTAATTTTTCTCTGGGTCCTCTGGTTTTGTCTTCCACATTTCGAATAAACACGCGCTTGGAGTATTTGGCTGCAATACATTTCCACGTGATGAGCCACTTCGTTGAGCTATGATTTGTGGCCAGGTCACTTCCGAAAAAGGGCTACATAGGCTCGGTGGGCCTTACCTGGTAAAATAAAAATTGTTGAGTTTAGCCTTCACCGTAATTCGGACACGCAGGTGGATCTTCTTTGGTTCTTTCGGTAAAGTCACGTAGAACGAGAATAAAATAAATTGATAAAATAACACAATAATATTCTCACGACGTTTCGGCCACAACACAAGCGGCCTTCATCAGGTGAAGGGACGAGACTGTCTGGAGGACAGCGCTGGAGTGAAAAAGCCACGCTCAGATCGCGACCTTTAAGCTGTGTGAGAAGAAACAAAGCGCCTTAGAGTCGCGGCATCTCTTCAGAAAGGTGAGAGACTCGATTAGTTGGGCCTTCTTATCCTGGAGTCTGTTGAATGATCTTAAGGTTGTGTGGAATCCCTCCCCGTAGAGGCGGTTAGATTTCGATTTAAAGCTTTCGTGACTGCAAGGATTCATCTTCTTTGCAGTCACGAAAGCTTTAAATCGAAATGTAACCGCCTCTACGGGGAGGGATTCCACACAACCTTAAGATCATTCAACAGACTCCGGGATAAGAAGGCTCAACTAATCGAGTCTCTCACCTTTCTGAAGAGATGCCGCGACTCTAAGGCGCTTTGTTTCTTCTCACACAGCTTAAAGGTCGTGATCTGAGCGTGGCTTTTTCACTCCAGCGCTGTCCTACCAGACAGTCTCGTCCCTTCACCTGATGAAGGCCGCTTGTGTTGTGGCCGAAACGTCGTGAGAATATTATTGTGTTATTTTATTTGATCAATTTATTATTTTATTCTCATTCTAAGTGACTTTACCGAAAGAACCAAAGAAGATGAATCCTTGCAGTCACAAAAGCTTTAAATCGAAACGCAGGTGGATGTTTACCTTTTGTGCCCGACTCCCAAAAACAGCTTCCAGTTTCCAAGTGGGCCGTGATCATACGGGTTCCTGTACACCTGAAAAAGTGCGGAGGACACTCCGCTTCGTCATAAGCGATACATCCAATGCGCTTGAAATTAACAATAAAGAAAAATTTTTTTTTTTAAAACCTCCACAGGCATTCCTTCTCGGATGAAGCTGCGGGCCTTGAAGCGAAAACGCCGGCCCCTCGCCGCACGCACAATTTGAGACTCGTTCCATCCGGCTCGGTGGGTCGCCCTCCGCCGTGCCAATCTCCTACAATTCCAATTACCGCCCCTCAGTCGACTTGTATTTAAAAAAGACGCCCCGCCGCGGGGGGGGGGGGGGCGGGGGGCAGGGGGTGGGGGGCAACCGTCAAGGAGTGAAGTGGGAAACGAAAAATGAACGAGGACGTTAATCAGAAAGAAATCATTACGCGGGCCTCCAAAGCGAAAATTTAGCTTTCAGAGAATGAAAGGGAATAAACTTGGCTGACCTTGGGGGGCCCTGCCACTCCAATCTCGACGGGCTTTTGGTGGCCGGCCGAAAACAGAATTACGCTCTCTCGAGAGAGAGAGAGAATAAAGTCTGCCACACGAGATTTCGCTGTAATCCTCCCAAGGCTGTGAATTTCACACCTTGAGACAAGCTTTTAGTCTGTACGAAGTCTGGCAGCCACGTAGATTTGGGAGGGGGGTGGGGGCTGGACCCCCCCCCCAAGCGCCTCCGCCTCCCCTTATAAATTCTTACTGTGGAGCAATGACTGCTCACGCGTACACTGACTGATCTGCAGTGTCCTTTAAATGTGCAGGCAAACCGCAGTCGTAAGATGGGGCTGGACAATTGCAGCAATTTTTTTAGAATTAAGAGTGGCGGCCTTTCTTCGTGCATGACAAAGATCCCCCGTATAACCTTATCGGACTTTTGGGGCAAGTGCTGTTGGCGAGCGCCAATCAAGGCCGGCACGGCACACAACAGGGGTGTGTGTGGCCAGCACCACGCCCGGCCACCACCACCACGCCCCCCGGCCACCTTTGTCTCCTTCGTGGCGACGATCGAGCCGCGCCAGGCACCCATTTGAGGCCAAGTCACAGACACGCGGGGTGACAGCCAGAGCAGAATGCACAAAAGACAAACGCAGATCGCATCGTTATTCTGTTGAGCCTTGCACATTCGTTTGGGGTTTGCTTCACATCGGCGCGGTTTTGTATTCTTCCCCCCCCCCCCCTTTCCTCCCTTTAAACAATTTTATGCTCCAGGGTTGAATACTCGGGTTGGCGGATGGCTCGGGGATGGACGCTCGATGCTTGTTCATGCTCTGGCGATGTTTTAATCTCCCCCCCCCTTGCAAGATGAAGGAGACGGAACTCACGCGGGGCTCTGATGACCCCTTTGTAAATGAATCAATTCGCGATCGATCGATCGACGTGATGAGCGGTGGAAGAAGGCTCTGCGGGATTCCGCTGACGAGAGCTGCGGGCAAGACGAAGACCCCCCCCCCCCACACCCGCCCCCCACCCCCACACCCCCTCTTGGCCCGCTCACATCGAGGTCGGCATGGCGCAGGATATGGGCCGTGCGCACAAAAGATAAAGATTCCCCCCACCCTGTATAGCTTTAACGAGCTGTTTGGGGCAAGTGCTGTTAGCGAGCACCTATGAAGGCCGACACGGCAAACGAGGGGGTGGGTGGCCAGCACCACGCCCGACCGCCTTTGTCTCCCCGGTGGCGACGTTTACCACACACGACACCAGGTACTCATTTGAGGCTCAGTCGGACTCGGGGGGGGGGGGACACAGGACCGGTGCAGATAATCGTCACTGGTGTTGGTCGTGAGCGGGAATCGAACTCGGGTCCTCGGTGAGCGATCCTCGTAACCGTTATACTACCACTCGCCTAACAGTTCACACACAGAAACTCAAAACGCGCACGCAACACACACACACACACGTGGCCACTCGTACGCCTCGTATCCCCAAGTGAGCACTCATGCACGCAAGGATGAGCACGCTCGCACGCTCGCTCGCACGCACCTGCCCGCGAGCGTTGGCGTGCACGCGCGTCCTCTCGTTGAGACGCCGCTCCACGCTCGTTTCCCCGCGCGTCACGAGTCGCGCGTGCCACAGCGTGAGCACGCCCAGGATCACGCTCACCCCGCTGTGCAGGGGAGGCACGGGGGAGGCACGGGGGAGGCACGGGGGAGACATCGGAACAGTAGCAGAGAGGTCACTAACAACGAGAGGGCAGGAAGCTACAAACTGGAAGGCAGCCACGAATCAGCACCAGCGACTGCCCGAGCTCTGTGGTCCGCCAGCACGTGGGATACTTGTTCTGATACAATCCGAATCGAGTCATTTGGTGGGGAGGGAGGGTGGGGGGGGGGGGCATTTATTTATTTCCATCCTTAATTTCGCTCTCCGTCACGCCGAGACGCCGGACGGCCATGGACGCGCGCCGGCTCCGTTAACGCGACGACGCGTACGACCGCCCCCTCGGTCGAATCCGCTGCTGGACGAGGACATCCTCACGCCGGGCGGATCGTGGGGGGGGATGCTCATAGATACTTGACCACCACGCTGGTCAGCGAAGGGGGAAGGGGGGGGTCGGTGAAACCAGCCAGCGGGGTCGCGGGAGGAGCGTGGATGTATGGTCCAAGGATGGATATCACTGAAGGTCGCACCGTAGTTGCCCACGGCGCCGGTTCTATGCGTGGCGATCTCCCATCCAAGCGCCGTTTAAGCCTCGTGGCTTGTACCAAACGTCGGGGAGTCGGCAATGGAAGCGGCCAGGCATCCCGAAGCACAGGAACCTCCTGCAAAGCCACTCTTGAGACTCCGGGAGCGAGGCGTTTCTCGCGCAAGCGAAGATTACGGTTCGGATTGCACGAAAAGCGAAAGTCAAGGTTGCTTTGTTTGTTGCGGATTTCTCCATAATCGAGGGAAATGCAACGTCAAAATAATCTGCCATTTCAGAAAGAGAAAAACAACAAATGAAATGATTTCTTTCAAACCCAATCCTTTACCATTCCTTTGCTCATTCCTTCAAATTCACTCGAGTGGTCCCCGAGCGGTGTTGACTGGTGCCGAGACATTTATACGAAATGTATTTTTATTATTATTGCTCTGTAGGCACACTTGGATTATTTAAACACACATACACACACGGCAGGCATCGCGCACGCACGCACACGCTCCCGCCGTTTTGTGTCCGCACAAAGCCGCCACTTCTTATCAGCAGCGTAGCCGGCACGGTTCTCGGGGCAAGGAAATTAATGCCCCCCCCCCTCTCTCCTCCCCCTCCAGTTCAATTCTCCCCCCCCCCCACACACACCCAACCACCCCTCCCCACCCGCCTCTTAGCCCAGCATGTGATGGACTTACGCTCCGGTCTGCAGGCCTCGAGGGCAGTTGCTCGCTACCCCACCGATTGCACCCCCCCCATACCCCCCCTCCGTATCTTCACCGTTTCCGCCGATCATTACCTCTTCTGCCAGCGATTAAACCCTCGCTCGCCGTCCCTCTTTGAGATGATTGCGGCGGTTACCTCCGGATGCGTTTTACTTGTGGGGGGCGGGGTGGGGGGGTGGTGGCCGGGGAAAGACTGAGAGGTTCATTTGTGTGCGAGCAGCGGCGTAGAGAGCGGTTGGTTTTGGCCCCGGGGTCAGAGAATGTTCAACCCGACTGGCTCCGTCGCCGCGCTCCACCGTTACCTGCACATGACCCAGACGTAGACGAGGAAGTTTCGACGGAAGGGGTCCAAGCGCGGGAGGTCGGAGGCGTCCGGGAGGTCGGAGGCGTCCGCCTGAGCGGGGTCATCGTACGGGTGGGGGGAGGGGGGGAGGACGCGGAGGAGTCGTGACGTCGGCAGCGATGTCATGAGCAGCAGTGGCCGTGCATACGCACGCACGTACACACGTACACACGTACACAAAGAAAAAGATCCCCTGTACAGTCTGAACAGAATGTTTGGGGAAAGTGCTGTTAGCGAGCACCTATGAAGGCTGGCGTGGCACACGAGGGGGTGTGTGGCAAAGCACCACGCCCGGCCGCCTTTGTCTCCACAGCGGCGATGTTTACACACCGCACCGGCTGCTCATTTGAGGCCGAGTCGACCAAGGAGGCATCCCAGGACCGGTTCAGATAATCGCCACTGATGTTGAACGTGAGCGGAAATCGAACTCAGGTCGCCGGGTTCGTAGCACAAACATATAACTACCGGTACACACATATATATACACACACGCATGCTAACAGAGGCGTGGGTCGGGGGGGGGGGGGGAAATTGTACATTAATAAAAAATTAGGTATGTTTCAAGTTACATACAAGTGTAGTGGCCTTATCGACGTCGGAGACTGTTGTTAGAGGCAACACGTATTTATTACAAACACTTCTGTTACAGTATCGATACTGTAACTTGAAGAGATAACATGCCTCTTCTCCCGTACTCTACGGAGGGAACGTTCCCCGAGCTTTAGCCCACGCTAGCTCCCTGGTTCCCTCTATCCTGGTCCTCTCTCAGGAGGCTGTCTGACCTGGCCCAGCTTCGGCGCAGGTCCCGACCACCAGCCCCACGAGTCCGGCCCTCAGAAGGACGTCGGCCCTCGCGGCTCCGGTGTCGCGCCCTGGCTTGCCTTGCCCGGCCCCTCAAAAGGACAGCGGATCAAGGGGGTTCTCCAGGGCCTAGCTAGTGGGTCTTCTTTCTTCACTGGCTCTTCATCTTGCTTGAGTCGAACTCCCCCTCAGCTCTCCGGGTCCCTCCTTTTATACTGTCCCTCACTGAGGGGCGGGGCTGGGAGGGATCCCAGCATCCCCCACAGCCCCCCAGGGTGGTGGCCGTAGCGGACGTGGTTGTAAGCACCGCCCTACAACCGCGTGTCCCCGTCCCATAACACCTCTCCACAAGTAACCGAGGGTGTGAAAACGTAATTCATAAGAAACCGCTATTCTTTACGAGCGTACGTCATCTCAAGAGAGACGTTTCGCTGGGGATGCGAGCGCCAGCGAACCCTCGCGCGCACTTGCCCGCACAATCCCCGTGCAGGCTACTTGGGGGGACAGCTTTGTCTTTGTCCTTAAAAAACACCACGTGACTTGCCGGCGCGGGGTCACCGCCGAGAGTCACCAGGTCCCAGGTGGTCGCGCTGCAGTAGACGCAGCCCAGCGTCATGGAGACACAGAAGCTGAGGAAGTAGCGGTGGTTGAAGTGGCCCACACAGTTGTCCATCCAGTCTGTGATGACCTCGTTAAGGAGGGGCTCAAGGATACGGCGGCGGGGAGGGGGTTTAGGAGGTGTGTGTGTGTGTCAGCGCCACGGTGGTGAGATGTTAACTACCTCGCCTGGTATACGGGAGGTCGTGGCGTTTTGACTCCGAACCTAATGCCTGCTGCATATCTGGAGTTTGCGTGTCTCTCTCCCCGTGGTCACGTGCATTTTTCATCGGGTCCTCTGTTTTTTTTTTTCCCCCTCCACGATTAGAATCCTCGTGCGTTTAGAGTGTGTGGCTGCTATAAATTTGCACTTGATAAGCCGCTTCGTTGAGCTATTATTTGTGGCCAGGTCACTCCTGAAAAAGTGCTCTATAGTTCAGTGGGCCTTACCTGGTAAAAGAAAAAATAGTTGAGTGTGTTTGTGTCTTTATGCGAGTGTGTTCGCAAACAGCACTTGCCCCCTCCAGTCTATTAAAGGCTATACGGGCACCTTTGCATTTGTGTACGCGTGTGATTGTATATGAGAGTTTGAGTCTGTGTGTGTCTGTGTGATTGTCTTTTCAATCTAAGTGGGGAGTGGAAGCGTAGCGGTTAGCGCGCTGCGCTACAAACCTGACAACCCGGGTTCGATTCCCGCTCACGGCCAACACCGGTGACGATTATCTGAACCGGTCCTGAGCCTCCCCTAGCCTCAAATCAGCACCTGCTGCGGTGTGTAAACATCAGCACTTGGCTGACAAAAGGCAGCCATGCGTGGTGCTGGCCACATCACGCCTGCGTGGTGTAGTGCTGGCCTCAATCGGTGCTCGCGGACAGCACTTGGTCTGGTAAAGGCAATACAAGGGGGATCTTTGTCTCGTGTAAGTCAACATCAGAAATTTCAATGCAGCCACCCGGTCTGCATATCGTGAGGAATGTGGCGAATTCCGTGATTTATTAAAACGGCTACAGGAGTTACGGGCTGGGTGTTACAATAAAACCCGACTCGGCACACAAAGGGGACGTTTCTCTTAACGCTGCCAAAACAAAAAATGTAACATTTATAACTTAAGGTGAACCCTTTCACGAATGGCGCGGCGTTCAGCGCACCAACGTTAGCGGCGAGCGAACTCTTCACCGGCCCCTCGGCCTCCCCTTCCCTTGGCTCGGTCTACCAACGAGTACCCGCCCCCCCTGTCGGCATTCGTAGTACCCGGTGCGGTATGTTTGCTGGTTGCGTACGGACCGTACCACTTGCTCTTGCGCTGCGATCGCCTTACTCGGTGCCCGCTGACAGTCCCACGAAGCTTGCCCGCCCTCCGCCCCCCTCCTACTCCCCCAACCCCTCCACTTACACCAACCCGCACTGATCAGCGTGGTAAAGTAGTTTGTTCTCCTGTAATGCCGCGTGTTGTTTTCACAACACAAATTGGATGTAACGCGATGAATGTAATAGGGAACGCGTTTTATTGTTTTCACACGGATGCGAACTGGCTACAACGCGATCGAGTGAACGGAACTACGGCCGCGCCAGTAGGAGTAAGCGGCCGTACGGCCGCCTCGACGTAGCATCGCACAAGGGGGGATGCTGCTGGATGCTGCTGGATGCTAACCCTACACGCGCCTCGGTCTTTGTTCAGCCTACATGACACGCATCTCACGTGTTTCGTGGACTGTGCTTTCCCCTATATTATATACGATTTAATATAACGCAATGTTTCCATAATGCGGTATTCTTGTGGAACGCAACTACTGCGTTATATTAGGAGAACAGTGTACAGCTCGAAGAGCCCTCGCGACAAATCAACGGATCACCGGATGTTCGAAACCCTGAGCGCCGGCTCGAGACTCCGGCCCGAGTGAGAATGTCAGCTCCTGCTTGCTGTGCTGCCTCGTACGGGGGGGGGTGGGGGGGGGTGGCGGAGGATACAGCAGTGGTGATCCATCTTCAGCACGCACCTGGAAACACAGCAGACGGCACGCGTCTCCAGACGCGCAGGCGAGACACGGAATCCCACGGGGGGCATCGCCGACAGTGACTCCAGGGCGATGTTTCTTTATCTTTTTTTTGCATTCTTAAAAAAAACGTCTCAATATTTATTTATTTCCATAGAAGGTTGGAAGCGGTTTTCGCCTTTGCTCCGTCTATACTTCCATCCGTAACGCGGGGGGGGGCACGTAAGCACGTATGTCTGTTGAATTTCTTTCGCACCCTACCTAGCCGACCGTGCTAATTGCAGGTGCGGAGGAAGGACAACAAACTAAACACAAACAGCAGACACAGGAACATAAAGCTCCGTTTGACCATTAGGCATCGACCCTTTTTAAAACTGGCCAAATTGATTGAACGTTTACCCAATACTTGCAGAAACAAAAGCAGAGCAAAAGTGGACTGTTTGCAAATATCAGAACGCCTTTTCCACCACCGCTCCCCCACCTCCCCCCACCCCCGACAGCAACCGAAGACAAAAAGCATGCTGACAAAGATCCGGGTAAAACATGCACGCCCACGATCTTCCTTAACTTTGTTTGATTTGTTTTTTTTGTTACACACACATTTTGTTCCGTATGCATTTTGTTACGCATACGTTCCAATTCTAGCATCGGCGATATCCCTCTATCCCGGCCCACATCGCACCATCTATTTCTACGTCCAGGATAACCGTGATTAAAACTTACGTTTTGCGTGAACGTAAGCTTCCCCCCCCACCCCCCGATCGCGAAATCAACATCGCCACCTCCTCCACCCCCACCCTCCCAACTGAGGGCCCCCCGTGGCGTCCGGCCCTCACCTGCAGCAGACGCGACAGTGGTGAGCTCGCGGAGGTCGACATCGCAGGCACTTCTTGCACAAGGACGCCTCGGCCCGATCGTAGGACCCCTGCGGGACGCGGGTAACGACCGACGAAAGTCAGCGCCCGCCCGGGGTGTCCCCCGAGTGAGACGGAGATCATCTCAGAAAAGCGCGACGTCGATCGGTCGTGTTGCTCCATTTAAACGTGGGCATCAAAACGGGCGAGGGGGTAATAAATTAATCTTCCCCCGGGTACGGTCAGCGACTGGGAAAAAATACGTTCCGCAAACCGGCGCACCATTCGGTAGGCCCCCTCGCTTTGGCTGTGGCGAGCAGTTACGTGCTCGCTTCCCAGTCTATACCGGCGACCCGGGAAAAAAAAGTATTCGCGGAGAAAACAACACGACGAGGCACGCTGCGGACGTGCCGTGCGTGCGAGGCGTGCCACGCCTGATCCTCCTTGGGAAAATCAAAAGGCAGAAGAGAAAGACAAAGACGGATGTGGTGGGGGGAGGGGAGATCGCATCAAGTGGTGGACCCCAGCTGAGCAAGGGGAGCATAACAGGGGTGCCGCGGTGGCTAGGAGATGTTAACTCACTCGCCTGGTACACAGGAGGTCGTGGGTTTGACCCCAACCCTCATGCCAGGTGTATATTTGGGGTCTGAATCTCTCTCTCTATCCCTGCGGTCGCGTGGATTTTTCCCGGGCTCCTCCGGTTTTTCCCCTCCACATTTAGAATCAACGTCATGCGTTCAGAGTATTTGGCTGCAATAAATTTCCACATTGACAAGCCACTCCGTAGAGCTATCATTTGTGATCGCCAGGTCGCTTCTGAAGAACAGTTCATAGCTATCCTTGGGGCTTTACCTGGTAAAATAAAAATAGTAAAATAAAAATAGTAAAATAAAAATAGTAAAATTAAAATCACGAGAGCGTGTGCCGAGAAGTAGCGCGCTGGTGTACGTCGACCTCCGACCCCGGAGCCGACACTGCCAGATGTAATAGAACCAAATCTCGGGACACTGTGCACACGTGAATGGAGGCATGCAGAGCGCGATCATTTATAGAAGAGGAATCGTGTTTGAAGTGTCGCGTGGGGAGAGGGAAGGGGGGAGGTGGCGGTAGCACGAGGAGCAGAAAGCTACGGTGGAGCAGAGATGGAAATTCGATGACGGGTGCGAGTGAGGACAGACAGAGAGAGAGAGACGAAGATGGGGCCCTGGTCTCAGACGCCATTAGGCGCGTCAGAAAATACGGGCGCATTCCCTCTCTCATCATTTTTTGGTTTGTTTAATCTTGTAGATCATAGAAGCAGAAAATCAATTTCATATTTTATAAAAAAAAGAAACCCCCTTCGTCGGTCGCATCGATATGCCAACAACGGTCGGTAATTTACCGACGCGGCCAACAAACTTCCGCCGCGGTTAAAATTTACGGCCGGTTGGCGACGCTGACCTGGGGCGGGTAAAGCGGTTTTGTAGAAGCTTCCTTGGCCGATAAAACAAATGCCTGGCTCGTGACAAGCAGCGACAAGCGGGCTAGTGTTTTATACCGGAGGTTGGAACGATCGGCCTAAGAGGCGCCCCCCCCCCCCCGTCCCCATCCCCATCCCCATCCCCGCCCCCCCGTTTGTGTAAATTATGGCAGCGCACGGGGAACTGCCTACCACCGGCAGAGAACTCCGTCTCCACACGTGCTCGAGCGACACGTGTTTTAGTCTGCCGATCTCCCGCCTTTCGAGATCGTTATTCAAAGTCACAAAGCGATTTCCTGCTGCTCAAACGAGCAACCAGGCGTCGGTGCTCACCGCCGCCCGCACGCCCCGTTTACAGCCCCGAGTCAGCGGCGAAGATTCCGAATTCTGATGGCGGGATGGCGAGTCCTTTCATACGGACGGCCACTGTTGATTCCCCCACAAAGCGGTGCCGATTTTATCGACCCCCGGAGGACATGATGGGTTGAGTCAACCCCCCCCCCCCCCCACAACTAACCAGGACTTGAACCCGTAACCTTGCTCCACCGCTGGGCCGCCTGGCCGGTTACTCGACCAATACCATCCGGCAGAATTTGCCCAAGCAAGCAAACTTTCGACCGCTTTCGACTGCACGGGTCTCATCAGCAGAGCCAGGCTAGTTAACACAATTGCCAGTTGCTATTGGCAAGAGCACTCCCATCTCAATGATGGGGCCCTGTTCACCGCAAAGAGCTCTATGGGCGTATACACCCACGCTACACTGCTGTTGTTGTGAAGAATTTATGGGTCGAGGAAAACAAAAGCAGACCTCAGTTCCGCATCTCAACATCACCGTCACCTCTTCAAATCGAGATGACGTCGGGGGAATGCAACGCCATGGCAGTCGGCAAACACAACACGCGCGCACGCTGACAGACGATGAGCGATAATCCCCAGGCAAAGGTAAAATTAACAAGAGCTAAACATAGAAACGACGGCAATTTAAATGTAAAAACGGATGCAAATGAGGCGTCGCATCTCGGCGGAGCCTCCGCTCGTCATAAATAAAGATTAGGTCTGTAAACGAGGTATCCGCAACCGCACTGCGCCTCGTAAATGACCTTCGGATGATGTTCACCGCCGGTCCTTGTTTAAAAAAAAAAAATCGCTCCCGCGTGTCCCTCGCTGAACTCGTCTCGCCCAGGCGGGACCCTGCGCCCAGCCGTGTCACAATCTCACGAACCAAGCAGGAGAATCGAGCCTGTAACGGCGCTCGGACGGGCGGCCGTGCGACGGGGACGCTCGCCAAAATTCCACCGTTGTACTGTACACTGCACTGCCACGTCTATACTCCCTTGCCTTCACCGACATGCACTGGGGCCAGCGTGGTATGTACGTATGCACGGTGAACTTATTTCGCACTGCGCGTAGCCAACCGTCCTAATCGGAGGTGCGAGGAAGGACAAGAAACTAAACGCACGAAAAAAAGAGTACGGTCGAATAACTTCGGTGACCCACACGGCGTGAGGCAGGGCAATCATCCAGCAGCGGATTAATGTATGGAACCCCGTTGAACTCTCTCAGTGCGTCAGCGCCTCTGTCAAGCTTGGTGCGGATGGGAGAAGCAACGATGCCCTTTATACCTCGGAAAGCCTCACCCCGGTCTCAAGACTCTTTTTGGGAGGGTGCCTCGGTAAGATCTTTGGCCAATTCCGTGAGTATTTGTTTGGTTCCACGTGGGAGAAAACTGGAAGCAGGAGAAAAAAAACATGCACGGGAGAGGCGGTATCGTTAAAAGCTCGGCGAAAAAATTGATTTAAGAAATCCATTGCTGGGCTTCCCATTTCGTGGCTACCTCACAGGCCAGGCCTACGACACCTGGAATTCCCGAAGCATCACCCAAGTACTGACTGGGCTCAATCCTGCTCAGATGCCGAGAACTGATGAGGTTGGGCACATTTCAAGGTATTTTATTTCACAACGGAGAGCCAATTAAGATCCGTTTTATTTTTGTTTTCAATTTATATGCGAGTTTCAAGTTTCATTTCAAGTTTAATTTGATTTTGAGAGCGCAGCCTCAACAAAGAAAGTAGAAAAGACGTGTCTTGCTTTTTAATTCACTTCAGATGCTCGGGACGTCATTCAGGGAGTAGGAAAGTGCTGCAGATGTAAATTGGGAAGAGGAGGCTGTGGTGGATTTAACAATGATCAGATTCATTTAACCATCGTCGTCCTCATAATCAGCCAGCCAATCCTCTGCTGGTTGAAGGCCAACCCCAACTCACTGGCACTTCTCAAGAACCCACGATTGTAATAATCCACCCGGCACCCGGCAACACATTCCATCGCTCCAACCGATTTCACCGCTCCACTTACTCGGTGAATGCCCTCCCAAAGCGTCGCAAATGCTGCCCGTAACAACGATCGCGATTACAACGATACCGACAAGAACAAGCGCGGGGCAACGCCAACAATGACGACAACGAAGAAATGCGATGACATCGCCCTCCTCCGCGTAAAAACCTGCGTCACACCTGCGTGGGCTGCCCCGGGTTCGTGGACACGGCCTTGTAGTAGTGGAACGAGATGAGCGCCAGGTTCCAGTGCCCGTAGCCCAGGTGCAGCGCGGTGCCCCACGGGCCCGCCCGCGGTAGCACGGAGGGGTACACGACGCCGTACATGGTCAGCACCACGGAGAGCGTCAGCAGGGCCACCGTCACCACCAGCGCCTGCGGGTGGGGGGGGGGGTGGTGGCAGCGTCGTCGTTCAGCGTCGCCGTCGTTCCGCTGTTTGTCAAACCACCGCCACGGACGGCACGGACGTCCGTGGCTGTTGACGCCAGGCCCCCCGCGGCAGGCTGGCCGTCTCAGTCGGTCGTCGTTGTTATCGTCGTCGTTATTACTCTTTGGTTTTTTCGGTAAAGTCACGTAGAAATAATAAAAAATAATAAAAAAATAAAATTATAATTGCGCACGACGTTTCGATCGCAACACAAGCAATCATCATCAGGTAGAGGAAACACATAACTGCAGACAGACCTTAAGTAGGGAGAATTAACACAGATATACCAAGGGGTACAGAGAGACGGAACATCACACTAAATCAAACAGGGTTTAGCAAAATTTGGAAACTATATAAAGCAACACAAACGGTCGGTTAAAACACAATTAACGCATGGTTTGGTTGAATACGCTGTTTCAAAGATTGTTAAATTGTAAGTTAAGTGTGAAATTTAAGATAGTGATAGTCGTTATTGTCGTAGTCATTGTCGTAGTCATCATAGTCGTCATCACCGTAGTCATCGTAGTAGTCATTGTAGTAGTCATCATCATAGGCATTGTAGTAGTCATCATCACAGTCATCGTAGTAGTCATCGTAGTCATCATCGTAGTAATCATCATAGGCATCATCATAGTCATCGTAGTCCTCGTCATAATCATCATAGTCATCGCCGTAGTCAGCGTAGTAGTCATCATCATAGTCATCGTCATAGTCATCATCGTAGTCATCGTGGTAGTCATTCATCGTAGTCATCACAGTCATCATCATAGTCATTCATCGTAGTCATCATCATAGTCATTCATCGTAGTCATCATCATAGTCATCATCATAGTCATCGTCATAGTCATCATCGTAGTCATTCATCGTAGTCATCATCATAGTCATTCATCGTAGTCATTCATCGTAGTTATCGTCATAGTCATCATCGTAGTCATCGTGGTAGTCATTCATCATAGTCATCATAGTCATCACCGTAGTCATCATCATAGTCATCACCGTAGTCATCATCATAGTCATCATCGTAGTCATCATCATAGTCATCATCGTAGTCATCACAGTCATCATCGTAGTTATTCATCGTAGTCATCGTGGTAGTCATTCATCATAGTCATCACCGTAGTCATCATTGTAGTCATCATCATAGTCATCATCATAGTCATCATCATAGTCATCATCATAGTCATCATCATAGTCATCGTCGTAGTCATCATCATAGTCATCATCGTAGTCATCATCATAGTCATCATCGTAGTCATCATCATAGTCATCACCGTAGTCATCATTGTAGTCATCATCATAGTCATCATCGTAGTCATCATCATAGTCATCATCGTAGTCATCATGGTAGTCATTCATCATAGTCATCATCATAGTCATAGTCATCGTCGTAGTCATCACAGTCATCATCGTAGTTATTCATCGTAGTCATCATGGTAGTCATTCATCATAGTCATCACCGTAGTCATCATTGTAGTCATCATCATAGTCATCATCATAGTCATCATCATAGTCATCATCATAGTCATCATCATAGTCATCGTCGTAGTCATCATCATAGTCATCGCCGTAGTCATCGCCGTAGTCATCGCCGTAGTCATCGCCGTAGTCATCGCCGTAGTCATCGACGTGATCAGCAACGTGGACAGCATCGCACGGTAACAGCTTTCACAGCCAACACCGGAGTCCCCAGCACGGCAGGCTTATTCAGCTGTTATCATCCGCATCGTCAACATCGCAGTCGGTCCCACTAACAGAATCAGAATGTTTATACTGGAGGAATCCGATGAGCTATAAAGCTCTTTTTTCTCAGATGCCTAGTAGGGGGGCGGGTGAGAACGTCACAGCAACAAACAATACAAAACCTATGATAGGCGTGCAAATTATAGGAAAGGAAAACAAATCAAATAAACAATTTGTTTATCTTACCAAGTAAAGCCCGCTGAGCTATTAGCTTCTTTTTCAGAATCGACCTGGCCATAAATGATAGCCCAAGCGAGCGGCTTATCATGTGGAAATTTATACCAGCATGACCATCAGCACCAGTGGCTGCGGCATAGCAGGGTTATTCAGTAGGGAGGGTCGCTCGCTCTCCTGTGCTGCCCACAATGTCTGGAAACCCCTTGTCCCTCTCCCCACCCCATCTCCACCATGCCTCCAGTCAACTCCCTCCCCCTTGTTTAAAATCTTGCCTCAAGACCTTCCTTTTATTCCTCTGCCAAAAACCAACTAATTTGATTTTCAAAATAAACAAATATCCCCCACCGCCCCCCCCCCCCGTGCAGCATTCTGAGATGCGGTTGCATTTTAAACGCGACAGAAATCCACGCTGTAGTGTATCATCACCATCATCACCATCATCATCGTCATCACACAAAGCACTGCGTCAACATTAGCAGCGTCACCGTCACCAACAGCGCCTGCGGCATGGCAGCCTTGTTCGGTATCATTATCGTCATCGGTGTCATGAGCTGTACCTATTATATTAATGGGGATTTTTTTTTTTACTTTATCATTTAACATGTTGGTTAAACTATTTATTGGCGCTTTGATATATTTATAGTGCGGGGGAGATTTATCGCCGCAAACACGTGTCTACCCCCCCCCCCCCCCCCGCGGGGAAGGTTTCCAGCTCTCTCACCTTCCCGAACCAGGGTACCACAGCGTCCACCAGGCAGTAAACCGGCTGGAATAAAAGTTCCAGCAAGTAGTCCTCCCCGACGGCGGAGTTGTACACCAGGGAGCGCAGCGCGAGCACGGCGTACTCGTACGCCAGGCGAAGCTCCCGCGACTTTCTCGTGCACGCCTTGAGGGTCCTGCGAGTGAAGCGCTCCATTTCCACGGCGCTGGACAGACACGAACGCACGGGCGGGCGGGCGGGCAGTCAGCACAGGCGCACACACGGGGGACACGGGGGACACGGGGGACACGGGGGACACGGGGGACACGGGGGACACGGGGGACACGGGGGACACGGTCACACAACGGACACGGGAGCACCACGGTTGCTCGGGAACGTTCGCCGCGCGCTGGCATTGCTCAACAGTTTGTGAAACGGACGCTTTCATGCTTGGAAGTCAGTTCCAATGATGGAACAACGCCCAGAGCTCTACACAGAGGGGCGAGGAACCAGTTTGCTGTACTGCGACCTCCGGGCCACAACACAGATGCCCATATACAACTTTAAACGCCACTTCACATTCCACGAAGGGAAAACGTAATTTGTGCACGCAGAGAAAACGCAAATCAAACTCGCAAGCAGCATAACCGGCAACGCGGCCGGCGCTAGCATGCAACGTGACAATCACGTGGGGTGGGAAGCTGCGTTGCGAGAGGATAAAGAATGCAAGCGGCACCGTGGCAGAATATGATCCGCGGTGGGAAATGAAACGACCCGCTGCCAAACGTACAAACGGTGCGGTGCTTTAATCGGGATGGGGCCCTTCCAAAAAATATGATTTTAGTCGCCGGGCCTCGTACTGCACCCCACCGACCGCCACGCCGCCCACTTATCTCGGCACGAAGAAAGCGGCCGCGGTGCGAACTCGCGCGCACGCACGAACTTACGGGCGCGTGAGTTACCGCTCGGCCAAGTCCAATCACGCCCGGCCCGCCGGCCGCCTGCCGCCCCAGTGACAGATTTGCAAAGCTGAACTTCTCCACTGTTCAATGGAAATATTTCGGCAAATGAAAACAAGATTAATTATCTCTCTCTCTTCGTCGCTTTTTTTTGTCATCGTGTGGACGAAAGTATTTCACTGCCCAACGGTTTGTCAGGGTTTTGTGATTTTTTTCTTGTCACACGACAACATGAATGATGTAATGTGGGCCCGCAAAGCAATCTACATCGGTCTTAATTACCTTGTCTGGGACATGCTGGTTGCAGTCCAATGCATCGTTCACTTTTGTTGCCTAGCATTAACATAATTGTGCATAATTTGATGGATGAACGAATACACGGGTGGATAAGGATGAAGATATGAATGGATTAATGAATGCGTGTGTAGGCATAGATAGATGGTTGTTTGGGTGGAGAAATGTGTGAGTGGGTGAAGGAACAGATTATTGAATGGATGAATGGGTGAGTGGTAATGTGGATGCATTAATGGGTGGATGAACAAATGGATATTTAGATGTGCCGGTTGGTGGATGGATAGGTGGATGAATCGGTTAAGTTATAGATGAATATCAAATGAACAAATAGATAGATGGATGAACTAATGTGTGGATCATGTACGATGGATGGTGGTGCAAACCTGTTTTCCAGCACTTTGGAAGCAAAATGACATCGATTTCTAAAAACTTCCAAACCCCCCGCGCACTAAAGTAGCCAGGAGATGGCAGGACAGAAAGTGGGTTGCTGAAATCCACGTGTGCAGACCTGTGAATGTTAGCCCAATCCGAGGCATAGGATTCTCCAGGTGCTACAGTTTTCTCCCACGGACAAAATATGTACATATACACACTCATAAATGGAATCAGCCAAACATCCCAATGTAAGAATGAGTCTTGAGGCTCGGCGAGGATTTCCTGGATAAACACAGGACAAGACATCGATAGGCTATGTTCACATCTGCTGGAATGCACCCAGTCAAATTGGATCTCAGAAGCTAAGCAGCGTGGAGCCTGGATTGTGTTCGGATGGTGCGGCTCATCAATTTGCTTTTGCCGCACATCCCTCTTAACTGCCTTACAAGTTACCCCCACAAGGCCTCCGGCAACCTGGTGGTCACCCCATGCATAGGCCCTGTCCATGCTTCAAAACCCCGCTCAGCTTAACTGCCTTACAAGTTACCCCCACAAGGCCTCCGGCAACCTGGTGGTCACCCCATGCATAGGCCCTGTCCATGCTTCAAAACCCCGCTCAGCTTTAGAGATCCAACGATGTCGGGCATGTTCCGGGCGTTTTGGCCCACAGGGTAAACGTTGTAGACGACATATGGAACAGATGCTCGCACGTGCAATTTGTTGCGTGTCTCGTGACCTTAACCCTTTCCTATTCCAATCAAATTCGTTTTTTTTCTGGGGGGGGGGGTGTGTCCGTACACCACTACTGCCGGCGTAGCAGCAGCAGCATCGCCAAACCACCCTTTGAAGAATTATTAATGTTTGACGCAACAGCAGCCATAGAGACGCGGGGGCCCAGGCGCGCTCTCCAGAGGGCATCCGAAAGTGGGTCAACGCTGGGCCATCACCAGAAACGCCGACACGACACGCGAGAGAGAGTGAGAGCGATAGAGCGAGAGAGAGAGAGCGAGAGAGTGAGAGCGAGAGAGCGAGAGACGGGGCCGCGGTCCCCACTTATAAAATAAAACAAAAATGAAACGGGTCAGAAATCACGGGGACTCGAACGAAGGAAGCGGAACGGCAAACTGAAAAATCGCGCAAAGGCAGCACGGCGGGAGGGGGGGGGAAACGCGTGGTAGAAACTACACCCGGACAGACACGGGACGAAGGAGCGCGTCGTGGTGTAGAGCAGCGAATCTCGACTGGGGGGTAACGCGGACCCCCCCGGGGCTATGTCCCGAGGGGAGGGGGGGGGAGGTTTCGCGAGGTGATTTATAAACATGTGAATTGATAATTGATATCGTGCACTAGAGGGTCATTAGTGAATAATCACGTGTGAATCTGCCAATATAAAATGACCGCGATAATATTTTAATCCATATGGTAGCCTAAAACGATATAAAAGACCTTTCTAAACTCATTGATCGCAATGTGGTTTTCCAAGAGTGACCAGGGAGCGTAAACAAATTACGTCACGCGTGGAGAGCGTTCCTTGGATTTGTTTTGATTCGCTTGCACTTACTAGCTAGTTAGGATATACCTCGCCAAATGGACAATTGGTTAACATATTGACGTTCATTATTCGTACATTTATTTCTCAGAACCATGTCGGTTCAAACTAACTTCAACAAAGGGGTGCCAGTAGCCAAAAATATGGGCTGAGAACCGCTGGTTTCGATAACACCGGTGCAGGTTAGAGACCCTGCACCGTTTGCTACGGGGAGTTAAGTGGGCTTTGGGCAGGCCGTATCGTTCGGAGGTGCAACGCGGCCCCTTGCTCGATTACCAATGACAGAGCGATGGAATCGGGCACGTGTATGAATTGTTGCAGGATTTCAGCCTGGAGCGTGCTTGGTAGGACGACCAGCATGGACACGCAGATTCTTGTTATGTCGGTGCGGGGAGCAGAGGGGCAGTACAGCTAAAAGTGTTGTTGTACTTCACTCACATGCTCCCTTGCCTTCGCCAAACCACCGTTGACGAGTGCGGTGAAGTACGGTCAAACAACGTCCACGTCCCGCAAGGCGTGACGGATAGCCTCATTCAACAGAAGATAACGTAAACGGCTGAACGTGCGCATACGTGACAGAAGGCTAGGGATTGTGGAGCCAATCATGCAGCAGTGAATAAGTTCTGTACCACATCCACACTGCGCACGCGAGTCCCCGACGCAGCGGCAACTTTCGTCATCAACCTCTCGCGCTCGTCCCGTAACGGGGCTGTACATCACGGCGAGTTTACGATCCCCCTTCGGACAGCGCTGATGATGCGACCACTTTGATTTTCACTGCCACCGACAGCAAGTGGGCGAGGCTGCCAGCGAGAAAGCACTTAATGTCGCCGCGCAGTGGCTGCGGTCACCTCTTCGGCGACCCCAAGCCCTCCGGCACTTCAGCGTCGTCGGCGGGCTCCAGCCACCAAGGGGGATGTTTGACCGATTCCGCGCAATTTTCCCATGATTAGGCGAGGCCTGCCTCCCGAGCCCACACCTCTTGCTGTTCCCAACGGTCAATGCGATGTCGATCACCCGTGCCTGCTCTCGAATCAGTGCGCTCCTCTTTTCGTCTCTCAAGTTTCATCACAAAAAGCATGTGCCCGCTCTCTCTCTCTCACGCGCCACGCTTCTGTGAAATACCTTCATTCGCACCTTCGCTTTAAAGTCATGTAAAACCTCCAGTTGCAGGAGTATCCCTTCGATGCGGGGTTCCACATTTTACACCGGCGTCCCGAGAAGCAGCCGTAATCATTTAGACATCGCCATCAGCTGCAGCGACAATCTATCCGCTGCTTGGACGGAGGGCTCACACGACAGCCTTCGCAAAATCTCTCGCGGTCGCACGATGCAACGATCCATCTATCCATCCCGCCCCCACCTCCCACCGCACATAAGTCGGTCACACCGCTCCGTCTCTGCGCTGGATGTATTCTCGTCTGCCCACTTGGGTTTTTCTTTCCAGTCAATATGATTTACAGAACCCATTTGTTCTCCAATCCATGCTGTTCCTCTTTTTCTCCATCATGCTACTCTCTGCACACCGAAACTCAAGACACATTTTTCGGGCGATCGCCACCGCATATGGGGTGTTTGGCCAAATCCAGCGACCAATATCCATAATACTGGAGGATTTCTTCACAAATCTGTCTGTCGCCTGATGATGCTAGTTGTAATCACTGGCCAAACGTCGTACTCACATTGTAAATGGTGTGGCTTTGCACTCCAACACACCCGTGTGCTGTACTAGTACCGAATTGCCACGTTGTTTACGTGACAAACCTTACTAATTGGCTGTGTCGGGTGGTGGCTGGTTTAACGACACTTATGTATTTTATGCCATCTAACCTAAAAACCTCTATTATGCCAGTAACGAGTGTTCGGCTACGCGGTGTAGCCAGATTGAAGCACCCGGAGGAAACATCCCACTCATGTTTGTTTTTTTTTCTCTTCAGTTGCTGGGCACAGGCCCAAAAGGGCCAAGCAAAAACAGCCAAACGCTCCGCACAGATGGATTCAAAGTGCCCGCTGCGCTGCCGGTCCCCTGTCCACCTCGCAGCCCGGCGGGCTTTGGAGCTTCACAGACCTCAACGTGATCCACCGACCCTCACTTCCAAAGCGTCGGATCACAGGCGCGTGCGCCTACCATTCAGCGGCGCTTAGAAGATGAAAAGAGGGAATGCACCTCATTGGGCTTCTATTGCTGACGGAGGTGACAAGTTATGCTGTTTCAAAGAGTAAATTTACTTCAAAAGAAATGCGACCGATAATTTACATTGAAACAATCCGGGATAATACATTTTTAAATAGATATTCATCGCCAAAAACAATCGCCGCACCTGAGCCTCAGCCGTCGTGTCAAGAGGCGACGTTTGCATGACTGGATACAATTTTAGCACGGTTCATAATCTTTTTTTTTATTTAAAGCTTTCGTGACTGCAGGGATTCATATTCTCGGTTCTTTCGGTAAAGTCACGTAGAAGGGAAACAATAAAATAATAAAAATATAAAATTCTCACGACGTTTCGTGAGAATTTTATTGTTTTATATTTTTTATTACGTTTTATATTTTTATTATTTTATTGTTTCCCTTCTACGTGACTTTACCGAAAGAACCAAGAATATGGTTCATAATCTGTCAATATTTTATTCCTCCCCCCCAACACTTTTCAATTTATTTTTCTCGATTGTGCTATCGGCATCACGTCACGAGGTATCTCCTCTGATCTCTCACACCCCCCCCCCCCCCACAGAAGCGGGATATCACAGAGCTACTCCCTCTTGACAGTCCTGAAAGCGCATTAGGTGCATGGCGATCCATTTATAGATATCCCCTCTGATTTCTATTGACCCTCTCTTTACTCTCTTCTCAACAGGTGATTGGAAATTGTGAAGCGATAATGGCTCACATATCTTACAGAGGAGAGCGCTATCAACGATGTAATAATACGTGCACCGAGATTGGTGGGAGACGTGCAGAGGCTTCGAAATAAAATTGTCCTTTCTCAATAATTACTTGCGCCGGTTTGTTGTTTTTTTTTACTGGGCAGTGATGGTGGCTACGATCGTCTGTAATCCAGCACTGAAGAGGCAGCGGGGGTTGGTGGATCGCCGCACAAATGGCGCCAAAAATTCCGTGCCGCGGGCGTCAAGGAGAAGCCATAACAATGCACAGCAAAGGGTTTTTTGGGTTAGAGCGCAGAAATAAATAAAAAAAATCATAAACCCGCCACCACCCAATTAGTGAAGGTTTGTCACGTAAACAATTCATTGACTGCGGCGGGCGGTGGCGGGTTTAACGACAATTATATTTACGCGAACTAACCCCCCCCCCAAAAAAAACGTAATTCTAGATAATATAGCATGCGAAAGCCGACGTGCTAAGCCATGCAATGGCCTGGCAGGAGAAGGCGGTCCAGCAAAAGTGAGGAGTGACGTCACCTGCCCCTTCTGTATGGTACAGAGTTGCTCCCCCCCCCCCCCCCCCCGCTTGCACCCATGGGTTTTCTTCGGCTGCTCCGTTTTTCTCCGATGTAGTATTGACACTCATTAACGGCTGAAAACACCTTAATATTTATCCATACTACAGGTTTGTTTGGGTTAGATCGCGTAAATGTGTCGTTAAACCCGCCACCACCCGACACGGGCAACCAGTAAGGTTTGTCACGTAAACAGAACGTGGCCAATTCTTTACTAGTACAGCACTAACCGGTGTGTTGGAGAGCAAAGCCACATTGATACTGCGAGTACGACGTTTGGCCAGTAATTAAAACTGGCATCACCAGGTGACCGCCAGATTTGTGGAGAACGTAAATGTTGTGGCTTGCCTATCCCAACACACCGGTGTGCTGAATTGGCATGTTCTGTTTACGTGACAAACCTTACTAATTGGCTGTGTCGGGTGGTTTGCCAGGGTTAACGACACATTTATATATTTACGCAATCTAACCCCCCCAAAAAAAACTGTATTATGGATATTGGTCGCAAAAGCCTACGTGTTAAACCACCTGAATATTTAGCGAACTGCAGAGTAAGGGGCAATTGTTAGTAGCGCCAGCTCAGTGCTCGGCTGCTGCTGCTGCTGCCTTCTGGCTTGGCATGTGATTTCACGGGGTGATTGTGAGATGCAACTTGAGAGAAGGGTGCTACGTAAAACTAAAAATGGGATCATGCTGCAGAATCGTTTGGAATGGTTCATTTTTACTCTCACCTTCACATATTCCACCTGACATCCACACCAAAAAATGTGATCAATGTCTAACACTAGCACTGGTGCATTACTGCAAGCCCTGGGTGTGATGGTTTTAACAGGTATGTGCAAAATGCGAGCTCCTACATATGGAATTCTTTATGGGCCATGCTGCAGTTTTAATCCGAGACGACTTTCTCAAAGGACAGAGGTTTAGGATAGGGCACACGTTCGCATACAAATACGCACGCACAGATACACACACACAGATACACGCTCAGATACACGCACAGATACACACACGCACAGATACACACACGCACAAATACACACACAGACACACACACAGACACACACACAGATACACGCACAGATACACACACAGATACACACAGATACACGCACAGATACACACACAGATACACACACAGATACACACACAGATACACACACAGATACACGCACAGATACACACACAGATACACGCACAGATACACACACAGATACACACACAGATACACGCACAGATACAGACACAGATACACACACAGATACACACATGGACAAACGAGCATCGAAGCATTCATGCTCATCTCCTGTTGATATTCCTGAGCCAGGGGTAGTAATTCCACATTCCTTTGGCGGGGGTAAGTATATTCATACAACCACTGTGGATTCCTCTACAAAGTGAAACTCATGGTATAGGGAAGATGATCTGAGTCAACCCCAAACCAGGATTTGAACTCGCAAACTTGTGATTGCGAGCCTGGCTAGTAACACGAATATCGTACCAGCAGCATTTGCCCAAGCAAGCAAACCTTTGACCTATTATAACATTATGGGTCTTATCAGCAGTCAGGCTTGTAAATAAGAATGCCACTCACTGGGTTACCAGTAGTTACTGGCAAGAGCCCTCCATCTAAATGATGGGACCCTGTTCAACACAAAGGGGCAAGACAGCGTACACATCCACAACCATACAACACCAAGAACATACATTTTAACGTACACAAATACACACACACAAAGCGGAAACATACACACACATACACCAACATGCAAAGACAAAAGGTCTCTTGTATCGCCTGAACAGACTGTTGGGGCAAGTGTTGTTAGCGAGCACCTGTTAAAGTAGGCAAAGACAAAGATCTCCCCGTGTAGCCTTAGACTGTTGGGGCAAGTGCTGTTAGCGAGCACCTATGCAGACTGGCGATGTTTACACACCACACCAGGTACACACTTGAGGCTGAGTCGACCTACATACACACACGTATACGCACATACACACGAGGTACACGCACACACTGAGTAAACACACTCTGCAGTCTACTCATCCGTTCGTACAAACACAAATCACCCGTTGACACAGACTGCTTGTAAAGTGCTCTCAGTCGGCACTTACTTAAGAGCTGCTAGTGGCGTTGAAAGCGCAATGCAATCCCGGCCGTCTTTGTCTCCTCCAGAGCCTACGATAAATTACCACACCGCACCAGGAACTTATTTTAGGCTGAGACGACCTACACGCATGCGTGCGTGGCCCAGATTTTAAATACGTAATTCTGTATTCTCATTGAAGCAGTAATAAAGTGTTGCCTTTTTTTCACGTGACAACTGTATTAATTGGCTGTGTCGGGTGGAGGAGGGTTTACGACACACATTTAATTACGAGACCCGATCCCAAAATAAATCAATTATTAAGTGCTACATAGTCCACCTAGGGTTATGTTAAACTGGACTCCCATGTTAAACTGTAATCCCATCGTAAACTGGACTAACATGGTAAAACTATTCGACTCTTTACTAGTTTTTATTTTACCCTGAGCTAGATAGCTCTTTTTTTCAGAAGCGACCTGGATATCACAAATGATAGTTTAACGAAGTGGCTTATCATGTCGACATTTATATCAGCCAAATACTCTAAACGCAACTGGCCTCCCACGGTAAACCACGACTCCCACGGTAAACCACGACTCTCACGGTAAACCACGACTCCCACGGTAAACCACGACTCCCACGGTAAACAACGACTCCCACGGTAAACCACGACTCCCACGGTAAACCACGACTCCCACGGTAAACCACGACTCCCACGGTTAACCACGACTCCCATATAATCGGTGAACCTGAATGACCGTACATTACTGTACACTACAGCACACAGGGCCTAAAGGCAAAGGTCCCCCGTGTAGCCTTAACAGACTGTACGGGCAAGTGCTGTTAGCATCCACATATACAGTCCCATGATCATACACACATATATACTTACACATCTGTATTCACAACACCACACACACGACACAACACACCACCCTACACCATATACACCACAACACACACCACACCATACACACACACAAACATAACACCATACAACACACGCCCTACACACCACACGACACAATACACAACACACACACCACACACACCATACAAACCACAACATTATACCACACCACACACACCACACAACACACCACCCTACACCATATACACCACACCATACATACACACACACAAACATAACACCATACAACACACGCCGCAACACACCACACACACGACACACCACCCAACACACACAACACGTACTGTACACACACCAATGCTGTACTGTACACGCTCTTAAGTCACAAAACACACACGAGGTCACACAGAACACAACACACAACGTACAGTACTGTACTCTCACACACACAACGTACAGTACTGTACTCAGTCACACACACAACACACACACAATGTACAGCACTTTACTCGCACAGTCACACACACAACGTACAGCACTGTACACAGTCTCACACACACAATGTACAGCACTGTACTCACAGTCACACACACAATGTACAGCACTGTACTCAGTCACACACACAATGTACAGCACTGTACTCAGTCACACACACAATGTACAGTACTGTACTCACAGTCACACACAACGTACAGTATGTACTCGCACAGTCTCACACACACAATGTACAGTACTGTACTCGCAGTCTCACACACACAACGTACAGTACTGTACTCGCAGTCACACACACAAAACGTACAGTACTGTACTCACAGTCACACACACAACACACAACGTACAGTACTGTACTCACAGTCACACACACAACACACACAATGTACTCGCAGTCACACACACAATGTACAGTACTGTACTCGCAGACTCACACACACACAACGTACAGCACTGTACTGGCAGTCACACACAACGTACAGTACTGTACTCACAGTCACACACACAACACACACAATGTACTCACAGTCACACACACACAACGTACAGTACTGTACTCACAGTCACACACACACACAACACACACACAATGTACAGTACTGTACTCGCACAGTCTCACACACAACGTACAGTACTGTACACAGTCACACACACAACGTACAGTACTGACACACCGTAGACACGCGAGCGCTGTGGTTACACGAGGGGGTGGGTAGCCAGCACCACGCCCGGCCGCCTTTGTATCCCGCTCCCCCAAGCGGAGATGTTTACTACACACCGCACCGGGTACTCACTTGAGGCTGAGTCGACCTAGGGGAGCCACCGTGACCGGGCTCAGATTAATCGTCACTGGGTGTTTGGTGGTCCGTGAGCGGGATTCGAACTTGGGACCCGCCGGGTTTCGTATGCGCGGCGCGCTAACCGCTGCACCACCGCTCCCCCCCCCCCCCACCAACTTATACAACACACAAAGATAAAGGTCCCCCGGTTGTAGCTTCAGCACACTGTAGGGGCAAGTGCTGTTAGCGAGCGAGCACCTATGAAGGCCGGCACGGCACCACGTGGGGGTGGGTGGCCGGCACCCACGTCCCGGCCGTCTTTGTCTCCCCCAGTGGCGATGTTTACACACCGCACCAGGTACTCATTTGAGGCTGAGTCGACCTAGGCGAGCCCCGGTACCGGGTTCAGGTAATCGTCACCGGTGTTGTGCCGTGAGCTGGAATTGAACCCAGGTCGCCGGGTTCGTAGCGCAGCGTAGCGCGAACCGCTGCACCACCGCTCCTAACCACAGACACACAGACACTCAACACGAGTCTCACACACAGACACAGACACTCATCACGAGTCACACAGAGACACAGACACTCATACAACAGCCACACACACAGAGACACAGACACTCATCACGAGTTACACACACAGAGACACAGACACTCATCACGTGTCACAGAGACACACAGACACTCATCACGAGTCACACAGACACAGAGACACAGACACTCATCACACAGACACTCATACAACAGTCACACACACAGAGACACAGACACTCATCACGTGTCACACACACACAGAGACACAGACACTCATCACGAGTCACACACAGAGACACAGACACTCATACAACAGCCACACACACAGAGACACAGACACTCATCACGTGTCACAGAGACACACAGACACTCATCACGAGCCACACAGACACAGAGACTCATCACACAGACACTCATACAACAGTCACACACACACAGACACAGACACTCATCACGTGTCACACACACACAGAGACACAGACACTCATCACGAGTCACACACAGAGACACAGACACTCATACAACAGCCACACACACACAGACACACAGTCATACAACAGCCACACACACACTCATACAACAGCCACACACACACAGACACACACACTCACACAACAGGTACACATACATAGACGCACACACACACAGCTGTGACATTTTCCGAGCAAAACAACTTCCGTAACAAAAGTTGGGCAAACACAATTCTTTTTTTACCTAAACACCACCGCAAGTCGCACAACCCCCAGATCCTCCTCCTCCATTCAAAGACTTCAATCATCGCGACACACCCCGTTACTAAAGTGCTACTCGGGATTGCAACTGTGGTGTATCAAATGAGTGCCAGCGATCTACGACTGTTGTAGTGACATCGCTGGATGTCAACAGGTTGTGGGGTGCAGTACGGGGCCCTAGAGGTGCCCGGTGTGTGCTGAATAACGTCGCTGGATGGCACCAGGCTGCAAGTTGCAGTGCCGAGCCCTACAGGACAGGGTGTGTGGGTGCCGGCCGTAGGGATGAGGTTACGTGAGGCCACGGCACTCTGGTTGACCCGGGAGGACACGTGACCGAGGGGCCCCAGGAGGGGGCTGGGGGTGCTCACGTGATTGGGACCCAGATCCTTCCCGAGGATTCTGGAAGGTGGGCGTGGCCAAGGGCGGAGCCGGCCACGCCGCAGAGTATATAAGCCGGGTCCCGAGAGGCACCGGGGTTGTTCATCCTGGAAGCAGCCATTCGTCTATGTTCTCCGTTCAACGAGTCTCCAACACGTGGACCTGGACCCGAACTGTTTGTCCCGGTCCGTAGTAGCTAGTTACGTAGTGACTAGTGTAGTTAGCCTGGTGGTCACCACCATAGGTTGTTATTCTGTCAAGGGAAAGTTACCCGGTGTGTTGGAACTGAATAAATGTGTTGCCTCCAAGTCTACGTCTGCGACTCAGTTGAACCCATTACACTAGCATTGCTCGTCACGAGCGTCGCGATGGGTCGCTGTCAGCTATCTATCTAAAGGCAACACACGCATTCATCCGCACAGCAAGACAGAGAGTGTTGGGGCGAGTGCTGTTAGCGAGCACCTTTGAAGGCCGGCACGGCACACGAGGGTGGCCAGCACCACGCCCGACCACCTTTGTCTCCCCAGTGGCGATGTTTTTACACACCGCACCAGATACTAATTTGAGGCTTGAGGCCGAGTCGACCTAGGGGAGGCCCAGGATCGGGTTCAGATAATCGTCACCGGTGTTGTGCCGTGAGCAGGAATCGAACTCGGGTCGCCGGGTTCGTAGCGCAGCGTAGCGCTCACCGCTACACTACCGCTACCCCACCTGCACTCACCCACAACTCACCTGCACTCGCCCACAACTCACCCGTACTCACCCGCAACTCACCTGCACTCACCTGCACTCTGCTCCACAAACACGTGGTGCTGGGTGCCGCATGTCCGTTTCCACTACGGGGCACGGTGGTGGTGGTTCCGGTGGCAAGATTCGCGCGCTGCGCTACGAACCTGGCGACCCGAATTGGATTCCCACTCACGGCCACCAACACCCAGTGACGATTATTTGTACCGGTCTTGGGCCTCGCTACCAATGAGATCTTCTCTCAAAACTGCTCTAGAGGAGTTGTACACCCGTAGCTGTCACTGCTATTCATTGGCCTAAAATAAAATGTTTCGCTCCGGATGATGCTGCAAAGTATTATCTGTATTTTGATTTAGCGTGCTGATCTTAAAGGTGCATTGAAAAATTTGATACTCCGGCTGATGCTTCTGTTGTGGAGTAACTCATGCAGCCAGCTATGGCTCTAGGATTTGGTGTTACATGTTATTTATGTAGTTTATTGTAAAATTCGGTCACAGTCCCTATGATCACTGTTTGCAATTATGGCTTTATTTTGGTGATTTCGAAAACGTTTTTTGGTTTGGACATGTTTGTTTTGTTGTAGTACGGAGTTAGACTGATGGCCTTAATCTAAGTTTTCTTGTTGTTTGAATTGCATCCCACTGGGATTTTTTTGCACACAGCGTTGGTGTACGGTGCTTTTTTCAGGAATATTTTGCTGTTTTTTCCATGGATTTTCTGTTTGCACAGTCACATAGTCACTTTAAGATGTTATCTTGTTCGTGTTTTTAGTTTTGTTTGTTGTGGTTGCACCCTATTCAAGAGCCGAATGGCTCACAGGGCTATACCAAAATAAATAAACTAAATAAAAAACTAAACTAACTCCCCTAGGTCGACTCGGCCTCAAATGAGCACCTTGTGCGGTGTGTAGTAAACATCGCCAGCTGGGAAGACAAAGACGGTCGGGCGTGCTGCTGGCCACGCAGCCCCTTCGTGTACCGTTCCGGCCTTCAAAGGTGCTCGCTAACACCACTTGCCCCAGCAGAATGTTAGAAGCTACAGGGGGATCTTTTGTTATTCCAACTGAGTAAACATCGCCACCTGGGGAGACAAAGGCGGCCGGGCGTGGTGGTGGCCACCCCACACTCCTTCGTGTGCCACAGTGCGGGTAGCTTTCATATATAGGCGCTACACGCGAATAGCAAAATTGGCCCCAAAAGTATGTTGAGGCTACACACGGGAATGGTATCTTTGTAATTAAGTGGGCGGGAGCGGTGGCGCTGTGGTTAGCGCGCAGCCACTCGCAGGCAACGTCGCCGGTGTCGAACATCCGACTCGGTCACCACGCGCACATCCGGCTCGGTCAACCGACTGGTTGACTCAGCCTCAAGTGACTACTCTGGTTG